TGGAACAAGGACCTTCCTACTTCTGTGGTCCAGCACCTCTATCCCTTGATATGCTCTTTTCTGGAAAAATTTCTGAATAGTGCTGGCCTGTAGATTCAGCAGTCCAGAAGCCACTGGTAGGCAGCCCAGCACACAGCAGGTGCTCACTGAAGGGTGGTGGGAGGCTGTCAGCGTCACGTCTAGTCACAGCAGACCCCGGCCACCTTGTGGATCGGCGGTACTTTTTGACCTCTGGCCTTTGTTCTTGGTGTTGCCTTAGTCTCCAGTGCCTTTCCCTCCACCTTCTCACTCCGGGGCAGGGGCAGGGGCAGGGGCAGTGGACAGTGACTGGGGCGGGGAGACTGGCTTCCTAAGGCTCATCCCCACCTGGGGCCGCTCCCGGGACCTTTCCAGACCCAGAGCGCCTTCGCACAGGCGGCTCTATCGCTGCTCTCACGGGAGGTGGTGGCAGTTACCCCTCTTCACGAAAGTGGGGACTTGGGCTGGGAGAGGTGAGCTGCTGTCCATGGAGATGAGGCAGAGTTTTGACTCAAGGCCAGAACGAATTCCCAAACCCTAGGATGGGAAATTGCTGGGCAGCAGTTGTGCAGGCCCCAAGGTTTCTGAGCAGGACACGGGTGGCCCAGGTCCGGGAGCACATGGTTCCTCTGCTCCAGTTCTTCTCTCAGCCTTTCGTGGGCCGCCGAGGGCAAGGCTGCCGTCCTGGAAACCCCTCTGCATTGGCTGAGGAAACTGGACAAACCTGTGGCAGTGGGATTCCCCGTGTCCCTGTAACCCGACTGAAATCCTTTGTGGGACAAGGCAGGGTATTTTCTCTCTCGTGTGGTATTTAGAAACATCGACCAGCTGCCTCTTGCACACCTTCTACTGGGGATGTGCCTGCAACCAAGGCACATGCTCTTGACCGGAATCAAACCTGGGCCCCCAGGCCGACGCTCTATCCACGAGCGGGTCAGGACTCCTATTTTTAAAAGGCTGTTTTGATACCAACCAGGAAGTCCTGAGGAAGCATTTTCCATGATGACGTTGCATGTTTGCTCATCCATCCAGGCAGCACCCATTCTAGTGCTGGGTTGGCAGGACCGAGCTCTCTATGACAGGGACCTGGAATTTGCCACGTCTGAAAGTTTTCAATCCCCCATCCAAGACCTACCTTCCTCCCCTACTCCTGGCAGTGAGCAGGCCCTGCCTGTGGCCGCCGTCTAAGCCGAAGCTGCAGTGAGTAAATGGTGGAGCCAGGCTCCAGGCCACAAGATGCGCTTGAGGGCACCTCGATTTCCAGCTTCTTGTCCCACCACTGCCACTTGTAGGAGACGGAGGGCGCCAAAGCCCTCGGAGAGACAAGACTGCCAGGGCTGGTGTGGCTGGGGGATTCCAGATGGTGGCTGGTTTCTCCTCAAGGATTTCACTCAAGGTTAAAGGCCCCTTTAGTGGCAGGCAGGTCACAGTGGATGGACAGGCCATTGTGAGGGTCCACCCTGCCCACATCACAGACCGCCTGTGCCAGGCCCTTTGCTGCGGAGTTTCCGGCAGAGGCGGCAGTCAGGGCTGGGTGTGGGCCAGGCACAGGCCTGCTCCTGTCGAGGGGTTCAGCATGAGCTCCCCTTTCGCGCTCTGCCTTAGAATAACCCAAACCCACGGGGACTTGGGGGCCCACGTGCTTCCCCACCTCAGGACCTTTGCCAAAGCCAAGTGCCTGGTAGACTCAGCCCTGCTCTTGATGCCACCTTGTTGGCCTTCACTGCCTCCCACCTGCCAGTCTCCTCCCTTTGGGGTGTCCAGCTTTCTGGAATGGAAGCTCTGGGAGGCCCAGGCTGGGGGGATCTTGTTCCTGGTGGGGCACCTGGAGCTCAGTGAGGTCTTCTCTCGGCCAGCCAGGTCTCATGTGGTTGTGAGGACAGGCAGAGTGGAAGGCTGTCGCCTCAGCACTCGGGGAGCAGCGGCGGGTGCAGGAGGAAGGTCTGCTTCACCCTCGCTTCCCTCCCTTCTAGGCAGGTCCCCTGGGGTGGAGGAAAGCGAGGATGAGGCAGCGGTCCCGCCACCTCCAAACGTACCAGACATCAGACCCAAAGCCAGCACCTGCGCCATCTTAGGAAGTTTCTGCCCAGGAAGTTAATGGCCCCTGAGCGGATTGTCTTCCCAAAGCTCACCCTGCCCTCCGGCTCCTCCACGTTCCTGACCTTTTCAAAACAAACTCAAGCACAGTCACAGAGAAATACGTTTTATTTTAATGTAGATTGTCTTAGGCATGTGGTAATAGGAGGTGTAATCTCACTGCAGGATGGAAAGGAGCATGGTGCACACGCTCGGGCAGGTGGAGAGGGAGCTGCATGCTGAGGGTGGTCTGAACCCTAGTCCTGTGGCTCCGCAGTGACCCAGCTGGCTGGCCTCAGGCCCCAGCCGGCCGCCACGCTACCCTGCGAAGAGAGGGCTGTGAAAGACGAAAGCACCCCGGCAGGGCTATACTTAAATGGCTGTTTAAGGTCTACAGAACCTTAAAGCCTAGAGGACTGTAGCGCCCAGGAAGGTTAGCTGTGAAGCGCAGGGTCGTAGCAGTGCTGGTTTGCATCTTTGTCTTCCTAGCAGCCAGAGCACAGGAAACTGGGCTGTTCCCACTGGCGTCACAATGGCCGTAAGAAAGCAGCCAGCTTTGGGGGAACTGGGTCCCAGGAGTGGACGCTGCAGGAGGTGGTGGGTGAGGCGACTGCTTGCAGCACTGATGCCTGGAGTGGCTTTGCCGTTTTGGTCACCTAAGCACGCTGCGACTCAGGTGGGTCCAGAGAGCAGCAAGACGGGGACTAGAGGGCCTGAGAGCAGGGGACCTGAAGCCCCTGATGTCCCCCGTGGTGCTGTGGGTTCGCTTCTCCCCATCACAGTTCTGTGCCCCCACAGCGCTCAACCAGGCAGGCACCTGGCGCTCCGGAGTCCTGCCTAGACCCGTCCCGGGGGGGACTGTCCTGTCCTCACGCTCGCGCCTTCCGTCTGCGCGGCGCCGCTGGTGTCGCGCCACGTCAGGCAGCTCGCAGTGCCCTCTGCTTCAGACGCCGTTCTCGCCCAGTGGCGGGAAGCAGCATGGTCATGCTCAGCCTCAGGAAGGTAAGGGCCAGGCCCTCAGGTGCAGAGGGAGGGGATCCTCTTCCCACCGATCAGCCGGGTCAGCAGTTCCTCAGCTGCGGGGCGGAGCTGGCACGGAGGCCCCACACTCAGAGTGAAACCAGTGGCTTTGCTGCTTAATCTCTACACTCGCTGGGCTGGGCCCGGGGCCAGGGCTGAGTGGAACTGAAAGGGAGACTGGGCCTGTTCCCCTCTTGGCCTGGCCCACTTCCTCCCAGGGATCTGAGGCTGGAGCCAGCAGAGGAAGGGGGTAGGCAGGACCAAAGCAGAAGGAACTAGCCCTCCATCCCTTACCCTCTGTAGACAGGAAACAGGCTCCGAGACTGGCTGGGAACGCTGCCAGGGGCGCCCAGGCCCCACACCTGACTCCCAGGCTAAGAAATTGGGGTACAAGGAAGGGATGGGGAAGAGAAACTGGAAAGGTTGGAACACTGGGGCTGGGGTTTACTAGCTGTGCAACCCCTCCATGCTCCGTTCCCTCAGCGAGTGAGACAAAGGGAGTGGTCCCCAGGGCTGCGGCTGCCCCCAGACGCTGCGCCCAGCAGCCAAGGAGACCTGCTGGGAGGGCCTGGACTGGGAAGAGCCTGTATGTGGCCAGCCTGCCCGCTCGCCTCCGTGTGGGAAGGAACGGAGGCAGGCAGTGGCCTGGGTCCCAGCCTTGTCAGAGGCACCCCGTTCCTGCGTGCCAGCACGGGGACGCATAGGGCTTGGGGATCAGCCTCTGGGCAGAGAGAATCCCCCAAAGCTCACCACTTGTTCCCACCCCCGCCCCGTGTTAGGGGCTGTGCTGTTCCTAGGTGCACCGGGCTGCCTTCCTGCTGGCCCCGGGGGAAAGAGCGGCTGGAGGCGGGGGCTTCCTCTGGCCAGTTCCCCACTCCTCAGGCTCTGTCCACTGTCTTATCTCCTGTGGTCTCCGCTGGAAGCGGCCAGCGACATCTCATGACCCTCAAGAAACAAGCTTATCACAGGAGGAAATGGAGGCGGTGGAGGGCAGAGGGGGTGCCCCAGAGCCTCCTGCCTGGCCAGGCTCACTCGGTCCTGGAGAAGAGCTTTTGCTGGCAGAGGGCTTGGGGACCGTTTCCCACCTTCTCTGAGCTGTGTGCACGTGCGTGTGCATGTCACGGAGACCCCGGGCCCACTGTTTTGTGAAGGTTTCTACTGCTGTAACTGGGACCAGCTGTGATGCCAGGTTTTGCTCCTTCAGGCACATTGGCAGAAGCCCCAAAAGCCTGTGGCTAAGCTCCTCTGCCACCCTCTACCCTCTAGCCAAACCCGCCCCACCTTGTCCTGAGGCTTGCAGGCAGGACAGCTTGGCGAGGTTTGGGAAATTTGAGGTTCTAGCGTTCAAAGCTGGATCTTTCCTTCCTCGGCAAAGGGCTTTACCTCCAAGATTGGCGCTTCTTCTGGACTATGTGGTGATGCATCTTCTTCCAGGGTGGCTGCCTGCCCCGAGACCCATGCTCGTGGGGAAGGGGGGGGGGGGGTGAGGGGGGCTAAGCCATCAGTGACCTGGGGCCCTGGCAGCAGGGCAGCACCAGGAGGAAGGTGGCTGGGGTTGGACACGGATGCCCCCTCTGGGCTGTCCAGGGTTTTGGCTGCATAAGCTCTTTGCTCCCCAGTGGGGAGCAGCAGATGCAGCAGGCAGGCATGTGCTGAGCTGGAATGGCGCACGCCCAGGAGAGGGGCTGGCTCTGAGCCCACACAGGTTTCTGGGATCTCAGGATGTGAGGATAGCGCTTCAGAGGCTAACGGAGGACCCTCTGTGGGCCCTGCAAGCCAGAACGCCAACTTCCTCCAGACGTGGGGTGCCTGCTCAACAGAAAAACAGGGGCCTGGGTGGGCAAGGGGCCAAAGACAAGCCTGAGTAACCCTGGCTCTCTTCCTAGAGTTCAAAGCCCAAGCTGCAAGCAGCGTGCTCCAGCCTCCAGGAGGTCCGGCGGTGCACCCGCCTCGAGATGCCCGACAACCTCTACACCTTTGTGCTGAAGGTGAGTGAGCGCTTTCCACACCGGGGACACGCCCACCCGCGCAAGGACCCACCCGCTGCCTCCTCCCGCCAGGTGGAGGACCGCACAGACATCATCTTCGAGGTGGGGGACGAGCAGCAGCTCAACTCGTGGATGGCCGAGCTCCGGAAGCACACAGGCCAAGGGTGAGGGGCCAGACTCCACCTCCGCTCCGCCACCGGCCCTGCCCTTCCTAGCCCTTACCCTCCACCTCTCCGCAGGCGGGAGCGCACAGACCCGGAGCCCGGCCCGGCCCTTCCTAGCCCTTACCCTCCACCTCTCCGCAGGCTGCAGAGCACAGACCCGGAGCCGCACGGCCCCTCCGCCCCGGAGCCCGGCCCGGCCCGCTCGCCCAGGGGAAGCACCGATTCCCTGAACCAAGGTGAGGGGCCCGGGCGCCTCAGAACCAGCCTCAGCCGAGGTCGCGGTGCCCCAGGGGGTCACCATTACACATCATCTCAACCAGGTGCTTCTCCTGGGGGGTTGCTGGACCCAGCCTGCCAGAAGACAGATCACTTCCTGTCCTGCTACCCCTGGTTCCACGGCCCCATCTCCCGAGTGAAGGCAGCTCAGCTGGTTCAGCTGCAGGGCCCTGACGCTCACGGAGTGTTCCTGGTCCGGCAGAGCGAGACCCGGCGTGGGGAGTACGTGCTCACGTTCAACTTCCAAGGCATAGCCAAGGTACGGCCAAGGCAGGTGGGGCTGCTCCCCCAAGTTCAAGCCCCTGAGGGGCCACTGCCTGAGCCTCCCCTCCCTCCCCCTGCAGCACCTGCGCCTGTCGCTGACCGAGCGGGGCCAGTGCCGCGTGCAGCACCTTCACTTCCCCTCGGTCATGGACATGCTCCACCACTTCCAGCGCTCGCCCATCCCCCTCGAGTGTGGCTCAGCCTGCGACGTCCGGCTGTCCAGCTACGTGGTGGTCGTCTCCCAGCCACCAGGTGTGAACCCAGCGCCCTCCATAGGGGGTGGAGGGCCCAGGCAACGCTCGCTGCCACAGCCTTCCGACACAGCCTCTTTGTCACTTGTCCCCCAGGTTCCTCCAACGCTGTCCTGTTTCCCTTCTCCCTCTCTCGCTGGGATTCAGAGCTGGGCCTTCCCCACCTCAGCTCCTCCGGCTGCCCACGGGGGCTGGGCCCGGAGGGTCTCCCAGGCCGCTCCACCCCGCAAGAGCAGATCTTCCACCTGGTGCCTTCGCCCGAGGAACTGGCCAACAGCCTGCGACACCTGGAGTCGGAGCCTGCCAACCGGGCCCGGGACTCGGACTACGAAATGGACTCCTCCTCCCGGAGCCACCTGCGGGCCATAGACAATCAGTACACGCCGCTCTGACGGGGTGGACGCCCGGGCCCAGGACACAGCACGCAGACAGGAACTGGTGAATGTACTTTCCTTCCTTCCTTTCAGAGAGAGTGAAGGGACACTGCTCCTTCCAGTTGGATGTGACCCTTCTATTAGGCCTGTTAAAGGGCCTCCTGTAAGTTCCCGCCTGGCTTTCTCCTCATTGTTTACAGGTGTAGTTCTTGTCCGCAGATGCCGCTAACTCCTGCCCGGGCCCGGCCCAGCACTGGCACTCAGAGGAGGGGAGGAGGCTGAGGGCCAGGCTGGCAGTGGAAACTCCTTACTGACACTGTCACAGCTGATGACAGACCTACTTGGGGAACGGGGCGGGTGGGAAGGAGGGGTCCATCAGGAAGCCCAAAACACTAACAAGCCCCGGATTCCCTTATGGTTTCCCGCATCGCTTCCTCCACATGCAGCGCTGCGGCACCCACGCCTATCGCTTCGACCCAGCCTTACAACAAACTCTGACGGAAGGACAGGCTGAAGGTCAAAAATGATTTTAAACATTTTACCTCAGATAAATTTTTCAAAGGATTCAGGTTTCAAAACTGAACCATTGCTATTTCATTGCACTGTTTGAACTAATACCCTCCCGACGTTTGTAGTCAGATAGCTATGCAACCCTCCCGACTAGGGCCAAGCCAGCACCTGCTTCCTGGCCTAGCGCAGCCGCAGGACAGCAGGCTGCTGTCCTTCCTCAGTGAGGGCAGTGACGCACGTGGCCATGTCAGAGCAATCCAGGCGGTTACGAACGCGGAGGGTGGCGAATCCCAGTTCTACCTGGTGCCTTAGGAACAGCTGCACTCTGCTCTGGCAGTGCTGTGGCAAGTTCTCCGGTGGACTCAGCCCCAGCATCCAACAGCTCATTCAATGACCCCACAAGGTTTTAGGCTCAGTCTGGTGCCACGGCTGACAAGCAGCTCCTCTTAACAGCCCAGCCAGCATGCTGCCAGGGGTCCCGAGGCCTCTGAGCGTGCGCATGCACACATGGGCTCAGATCGCCGCCTTTCACACGGGACACCGCTCACCTGGGGGCTGGCTCCTCCCAGAGCTCAGTGACAGCTGCTCCTGGGACCAGCTCAGCTTTAACATGTAGATACACATCCATTAGAAGCTAAACCAAGCCTTGGCCTGAACTTAAACTCCTGCCTGCCTTATCTGGCCAGGGTCAGGGTTCTGTCTGCTCCGCCAGCCACTCTCAGAATTCTAAGAGGTCAGAGGTGAGACTTTTGCTTATAGTGCTTATAGAATTTTCTGGGATTTGAGGGTGGGAGGGAGTAGGGGGGGAGCAGGGCATCAACTAACCACCTCTTCACTTTTACTTTAAAAACCAACATTCCTGGGTGTTTCCACAGGTTGTAAAGCAGATCCGATCCAGATTTTCGGTCCATTTCTAAGGACACTTATTTTCTACACTCCAAGCAGGTTTCGCTAAGCAAAGCGTGAACCAGAGGAGCACACACTATTTTGAATGTCTCTTAAAAGATAAAGCTCATCACAGAAAGTCCATGCTGACAGTCACTGGTGCAGAAAAAGGGCAAAACAGACAAGGAACCACGCACACACCCCTCCCTCCACATCTGGGCTAGGACCTCTGCAAGCCAGGGGCATAGACGTCTCAGGTAGTACCAAGAGGCAGCAAACTAGTGCTCAGCTCTGACCCACTGGCTGCCACGTACCAGCTCAGATTCTAAGGGCGAGCTGAAGTTGCCGCCTCCAAGCCGCTCCAGTACAAATGTTCAAGGAAAACATTTCCTTTCCAAGCGTGTCCGCGTTACAGGACACCTCAAATACATCCCGACAGAAAGCCCTGCCACAGCTGGGAAGGAGTGACCTAAGCCAGGCCTCCTTTCTGCCAGAGCAGGGGGAGCTGCAGCAGTGGGTCCCTGGGCCGCTGCCTCTCAGAGGCCCTGCTGGCTGTAGCTAGCCCACAGGATGGCACACATGCCACCCTCCGTCAGTCCTGCTGTGACCACCGCTGACCTCAGAGGCCGAGCCAGCACCTCACGGAAAGCCCGGGCTGTGAGTGCCAAAGGGACAGTAAGTACCGCGACGCTGCAGTTCTCTCCAACAGACAATAGCCAGGGGACTGCTCTCAGCACCGCCGCCTCCTGAATCTGACTTCAACGAACTTTTACAAACTAACAGGCACCAGCACCAAAGAATTAAGTCAACTAACCTGCCTTGAATTTTAGACCAGCAATCCATATGGCTTTATCTGGTATAAATCTTCTGCCTCTGATCACTTCTGGACCGTGTAGGAAAAAGGAATAGCAATCATTAAAATCTTAGACCACAAAACACTATTTTTATATATAAAATCAAGGCCTTGAACTCTTCCCTTCCCTAAGGGTTGCCTAAGATTCCTCCATGCTTTTATTCAGGGCTGTCTTCTATTGCAAATGTCATGTGAACGCTAACATCTCCCACAGGTTAGAGGAACTTGTATATTTTCCACTGCCTCTAACAAGGACACATCTGTCACCAGTGTTGGGCTGGAATAAGCCACACATTGTAACACACAGAAAATGGGTTCATCTTATGTCATTACAGGCAGGAGGTATCTGGCAAATTGTTATATATTGTTTATGTACTGTACAAGTAACTTATTCTTGAATAACACAAATTTTGCTATAATGTACAAATTGCTATATGTGAATTAAAAAATGTTTTCAGAATATTGATTTGTTGCCAACAATATTTAAAGGCTGTGTATCAGGACTATGGTCTCTGAAATCGCTGCTCTTTGCAAACATTTGCTTTTCCCTTTGTTCTCCCATATATTGAGGACATTAACAAGGCTTATGAGTTAGCCGTAAACTGCTTTGTACATCACTGCACCTCTTCTGCCCTCTAGATTATCAGCTTTTTTTTTCTTTTAATGAATTCCTATTTTCCCATTACAGTACCTTATTCACAGCTTTTTAAAAAGTATCTCATGCCCCCTACTGGTGAAACAGGCAGATGTCTGAATTAGGACCTCTGGCTAAGGACACTCACTCACTTGGGTTCAGGAGGTATTGGAAAGGAAGCTTACAGGATCAGCGTCAGGCTGAGGATGTGGAGTATCAACGCCCAACTGGCCAGCCTTCCTCCTTCTGAAGCAGACCTCTATCCACCAAAGAGAATATCTCAGTCTTGTCTTTTTCTAGAGATACTTTGAACCAGAACTAAAGGTGAAGAAGAAAAATCATTTGACGACTAACCTTCCAGGATATTAAGAAAACACAGCCTTCCTGCCTTGATATTAACTAGAAGCTTATACAAACACACACTAACTGGATATCAGTTTTTAAAACTTTTTTTATTTTTTAATTTTTTTTAAGTTTTTATTTTATATTATCTACAAAGTAAAAGTTTTTCCCTTAACTTAAAAGTTGAACCACTGTAGACAGTGATCACTTCATCAAACTTGATTTATAAATAATAATCCGTCAGTTTGACGGTAAGAATTTACTGAAACTTTGTCAAGTTTAGTAAAAGGGCGTTCCAAGTCTTGATTTTTTTTTTTTTTTTTTTTTTTTTTTTTTTTTTTTTTAGCAGTAATAGCAGCAAGAATCACTCTTGTTACTTTTGCTAGCTGATGTATACATGACTTTCAGGGTTATTAAAAATAAATAACTTCCAGTTTGAGCAAGCAGAGCTGGGGTACTTGCGGGACTCGGAAACAGCGTATGGAATTGGAACAGCCCACAAGTTCCTAAATGCCTCTACTCAGTCCAAATATCTTCCACTGCAAGTGAACTGTTAGCATTCCTATTGGATGTTACAAGAAATCAACATATATTTTTAAAAAACGAAATAAATGAAATCCTAGTTTTCTGTGCTTCCAGTCGGCAGAAGCAGTAGAAGGGGGGAGGGGATTTGGCCTTTCGGTTCCTCCAGGGCAGCCTTACAACTGTTGCTGGTGGTGGGCTTGTACTGTAAGAAAGAAAAGTGAATATTTAAACAGAAAACTGGCAACACCGCGCATCAGCCTAGTGTCTGCAGCGCATGACTGTACCTCTCCTGTGCTAGCTGGACAGGACTCACAATTTAGCTCACTTCCCCCTCCCAGCTACATCAAAGGGGGAGAGGGAAAGAGGGTAGAACAAACCAGTAAGACGTAAAACCACTTCAGATAGAACTCCCAGAAGACTTGTTGCTCATGGGGTAGAAAAACGCTGTAACTTACCCCCTCCCCAAATATTAGCCAAGCACCAGCCCTGCTTTCAGAGGAACGCATGGCAGTCTCCAGTGTTAGCACAATCACGGCCTCTCCCTGTCAGGGTGCAGGCTGGAGCGAATGCTACACTCAGCCGATCCACACACAGCCCTGCTCATCAGCAGTCTTCTCCAGCGCTACGATCAACTGTCATGGTGGTAACCCCCACGCAGACTTGGGACTCAGGAAGGAAACCACTGCCCTGCCCAGCCTGTCATAACAAGGAAGGCCAACTGAGTCCTAGGCAACGTCAGCTCCACAGCTGCCGCTGCTTCTCCAGCCAAACCTGGACCAGCAGAACACACACAGACTCGGCCCAGAGCCTCGGCCCTGACACTGACTGATCGTCACGGTCCCTACTGTGCACACTGACGGGTCTTGCTAGCTCTCAAATGCAGGGTTTGAAGCGCTGGCCCTGCCTGCCATTCGCCCTGTGCGAGCAGAATGCCTGGGGTGCCCGGCGGCCCCTGCACACACACGCCTCACCTGAAGGGTGCGTCATATAGGGGAAATGCGCTGCTGTCGAGACTGGAATGGGCTGTAGTGCACTTTGAGCGAGGGCGGCCTGGGGACCGCCCGGTGGCTGTGTCGTCATGAGCATCATTGGCGCATGGGCAGTTGGATGAGAAGGAACCATTCCTGACTGTACATGAGCCTGAAACAGAGAGCTCTTTTACGCATACAGGCAACATCTCCAGCTTAGACACACGTTAACTGTGCTCCTTTCGGGGCTGGGGCTCAGGAAAAGGGCAACAGTGGGCCCTCAGGGCCCCTTCCTTTCTCT